ATGAGGAAGTTCTTTTCTATTGCCGGTGGACGAAGATGGTATGGGGAGAACCCTGATCCAGAGGGCTTAGGAGACGAGCTCGACGAAGTCGGAATCGGTGTAGGATCGGCACGATAAACACGCAGGACTGTCTCAGGGCTGTCAAAAATATAAAATTCAGTGAGGGAGAAAATGTGGCGCAAGAGGAAGAAAATAATACCTATCGGAAGTCGCTTCAATCGTCAGACCGTCTGAACCCAGTTTAGCACTCTCAGCATCGTCGTCAGAATAAAATACCAAAATGACGCGCGCGAAGGCTCGAACAGGTGCCCACGCATAAACTTCGCCATAGGCAGCAAAATGTTCGCGGAGCACGTCAAGGACGAGGGGATGGAAAAATGCTGGCGTCAAGCCCGTGACGACGAGCGAATTAGTGCGCTGCCCCACCGGAGGTGTATTGGACAGAGGCGGCGTCGGGGGCGGGGAGATCATAAGTGTCGAGTTCGATGAAGCCATTGATGCTTGTTAACTCGTCGTCGTTGTCGTCTTGTCGATGGAGAGGAACAATGCTGGACGATTGCTGAACGACGTGCGATTTTTATAAAACTTCCCCTCCCCAATTGGGATAGGTAACATCACCGCCACCTTCCTAATTCGAATATTTCGCAGTGCTGTGGCTATGACGCATTCGAACAAGACACCATTTCTTCCCAGTCACCGCCATGCGTAGCGAGCACTGGGGCATTTCAAGATGTACTGCTTCATTCCAATAATATTGAAGTCAAGCGCTGAAAAATCAGCGTATTTGGACGGCATCGGACTCGGCATCACGGGCTACCAGTACAGACTGACGCTACAAGCTAATTGCGCGAGGCTATTATGTGAGGCTATAGACAGAACCTGCGGCTGGTCCGGAATCGCGAGAAATTACTCATGCGTAGTTTGGCTGTGATGATGGTCTTTTCTTGTGGATCTTGTCTCGTCGCTAATACATTCGGGGCCTCCGAGACTGTGCTAGGTAATCATCCTTGGGCCAAACGTCCACATTATTCACCCGAGGGCCTTATGCTGTACTCGCCCTGCTATGTTGGTCTTGAAGATGTCTTGGTTACTGGTAATTTCTCACCGTTCTTGATTACTGTTCATGAAAGCGTGCTCAAGAAATTGTGCGTTTACCATTTATTGCATGACTTTTCGCAGGAACTGCTAAAGTCTCACAACTGTTAGCGAGTCGAGCTGATGCTTCTTTCTGCATGTCATCTATAAGATATACTCAAGTCTCCACTGTCTTCGATTCCAAATTGTTTTCCAATTCTTGAATCATTGATTTTTAAGACGACTTTTTTTGTTTTTCGACAAAATGATCATAGGGGAAGTATCTATCACACATTTCACTTCCAACAAGGCTGTGCTTTCCTATCTGTAGTTGTTTCACCAGCCACAGTCATAAGTTCCGATAAAGTGTCTTAGGCGAAATAAAAGCAAATCCCGAAATGGAGCTGCTATCTCAATCTTCTGAGATAGAACTTGGTGATTGGGTCACTGGCCGTAGACATAGCTTATTCAAGTTGTATGACACTTTATGACGACTGTCTACTGCTGTCATGGGGGTGCAGAGCAGGTAAGGCAAACCATAACGAGAAGCCAATATGTGCGTAAAGCAAAATGTCAGACCTTTCTCTTGTTATGGAGTGGCTGTAAAGATTATGTAATATTGCCTCTTTGGTAGGTATTTCAAAAAAGGGTGAAACGGCAGCGATTGCCCGAAGCGTCGTTGAAGTGTTCTCGCAGAGCAACTTCCACTCAACTTCGATGTCGACAGCGGCGATGTTGCCTCCTGTCTCTGACATCTCCCCTGGTCACCTTGTGAGCAAGAGAAAGAGGTATGTGTCGCTTTTTTCTTAGGTTTTCTTTGTGCAAAGTCCTGACTTTCGGATCATACAGGTCGCGCTCGCGTTCGCCAACGCACGATGCTGCACCTCCCCCTCCTGCAAACCGCCGGAGGTCTATCTCACCCTCGGGAGGAAAAGCCAGAGTTGAGATTCCGAGGATCGATGATGTGGACCCCGTGCGAAGGAGAGAGCGTGAGCGCCAGTTGGCATTGCGTATGGTGGAGAGCAACCTGGACGGGGACAAGGAAAAGGAAAAGGAAAAACCTGGGAACGATGCCAAAGCCGAACTCGCAAAGCTCATGTCGCGCTCGGGCGGTGTCTACATCCCGCCCTCGCGTCTCCGTGCGATGCAAGCGGAGGCTGCAAAGGACAAGACGAGCCCGGAGTACCAACGCCTCTCGTGGGACGCGCTCCGCAAGTCGATTACGGGTATTGTCAACAGGGTGAACATCTCGAATATCAAGGACATTGTGCCCGAGCTGTTCTCGGAAAACTTGATTCGCGGGCGTGGCCTCTTCTCACGTAGCATCATGAAGGCCCAGTCAGCCAGCTTGCCGTTCTCCCCAGTTTTCGCAGCACTGGTCGCCATTCTCAACACCAAACTGCCGCAAGTAGGTGAGCTGGTGCTAACACGGCTCGTCAGCCAGTTCAGACGTGCTTTTAAGCGAAACGACAAAGTATGTTCGTCTCTGACTTGTTGTTTCGGCTTTTACCTAATTATCCCTCGTCTACAGATTGTTTGTCATTCGACAACTACCTTCCTCGCGCACTTGGTCAACCAGGGTGTAGCACATGAGATCATTGCACTACAGATCCTCGTTCTCCTGCTCGAGCGACCCACTGATGACTCCATCGAAATTGCCGTGGGCTTCATGCGTGAAGTGGGTGCTTACCTCGCAGAGAACTCGCCGAAGGCCAACTCTTCCGTGTACGAAAGGTTCCGTGCGGTGTTGAATGAGGGCACTATCAGTCAGCGCGTGCAGTACATGATCGAGGTGCTTATGCAGGTGCGAAAAGACAAGTACAAGGACAACCCGATCATTCCAGAGGGCCTGGACCTTGTTTTGGAAGAAGAACAAATCACTCACCAGATTGGCTTGGATGACGAGCTTCAGGTGCAGGAGGGCCTTAGTGCGTACTCGTGCGTTACTTACATTGACGACTGTTGCTTATTGTCCTTGACAGACATCTTCAAACTTGACCCAAACTATCTTGAAAATGAGGAAAAATACAAGGAAATCAAAGCAGAAATTCTCGGTGAAGGATCTTCTGATGAAGAGTCAGACGGAGAAAGCGAAGAAAGTGAGGAAGATGAGGAAGGTATGTGTTTAGAACTATATAGTTGGGCTTCCTTGTCTAATTCCTTGCTCAGCTGTCGCAGAAAAAGAGGGAATCGAAGATCGCACGTCAACAAACCTCGTCAATCTTCGACGTATCATCTACCTGACAATAATGAACGCCCTCAACTACGAGGAAGCCGTCCACAAGCTACTAAAAGTACAAATTGAGGAAGGTGATGAGGTAAGCCAGGATTCTTCAATTTTTGCCCAACGTCCCACTAAGTAATCATTATAGATTGAGTTGATCAAGATGCTAATCGAGTGTTGCTCTCAAGAGCGATCGTACTCGAAGTACTATGGTCTCATCGGAGAGCGCTTCAGCAAGCTTAACCGGGTGTGGACTGATGCGCTCGAAGAATGCTTCCGGGAGTACTACGAGACTATTCACCGCTACGAGACGAACCGTCTGCGTAACATTGCGCGCTTCTTTGGGCATATACTCGCGACCGACGCGGTATCTTGGGCCGTGCTCGATGTTATCAAAATGAACGAAGACGACACGACGAGCAGTAGCCGTATCTTCGTCAAGATCATGTTCGGCGAAGTTGTCGAGGCGATGGGCGTCAAGCAGATTTCAGAGCGTTTCAAAGACCCTGAGGTAAAAAGGTTCTGCGATGGCATGTTCCCCATGGATAACCCCAAGAACACGCGTTTCTCCATCAATTATTTCACGAGTATTGGACTTGGTGTTGTCACTGAAGAAATGCGCGAGTACCTTAAGGTATGACTAATTAATTCATTTAGTAGAACAAATCATAACTCTTGTTTGTTACAGAACGCCCCGCGCCTGATCATGGAACAGCGACGAGCGCTCCTGGAAGAAGAGTCTTCATCGTCGGACTCGGATTCAGATCCTACTTCCTCTGACTCTGATTCGGACTCGGACTCGTCAGCGTCTGACTCATCGAGCGATAGGTCACGAGGTGGACCGCGCAAACGGGCGAGCCCGCCTTCGCGTTCTCCTCGCAGACGTTCGTCTACCCCGCCTCGTCGTGATAACGGGCGTGTGCGGACTAAGGCCGACTCCCGTTCTCGTTCACCCCCGCCATATCGGGGCTCAGGACGCCCTCCTCGGGCCCGGTCCGATTCGCGCTCGCCCCCGCCCCCGCCTCGCCGGGCTGGAGGCGACCGAGACCGCTATCGCGAAAGGGAGCCGGAGCGCGAGCGCCCGCGGAACTGGTCGCCGAACGGGCGACATAGGGACCATTCCCCTCCTCCACGCCGTTCACCGCCACCACCACCGCGCCGCGACGAGCGCAACGGGTATGGCAGGCGTGGCGGACGGGACGACTCGCCGGACAGGTACAGAGGCTCTGTGCGGGACCACGACCGGTCTCCGCCGCCGCCGCTTCGAAAACGGGATCTCTCCGAGTCTCCTAGGCGAGACAGAATCCGCGGCCGCGCACGCTCGGTCTCCTCATCAGATGCGAGCTCGCCAAGGGTGCGCCGCCGGTCGCCTATGGACGAACGCATCCGCGACCGCTCCCCTCCAAGACGTGCTCCGCGAGACAGGTCGGAATCGAGGGACAGGTATAGGGACCGGGAGTTAGAAAGGCGCAGGAGGTGATAGCTTATTTCTGCTGGAGCGCTGCGGCTAAAAGGAGGCCAATGTGCATGAAGTACTCGCTTAACTCAGCTTTACTACTACCTCATTACTTATGTATGCATTCTTGCATTTGCGTTTTTGATGACGATTCAATAAATGTTGTTGTCCGAACACTGCAATGCCCGTCTAGTCAATAAATCTGCTGTCGTCGAGCAAAAAGACCACCCAGTTTGAGGAAACTCATGCATCATGCGGGAATCGAACCCACGTCGGAACCTAACGATTGGGATGAATTCCTCTCTTGGGAAGATTCCATGATAACCACTACACCAATGATGCATAATTTGTGTTGATATGTGTAATAAGATGTAGGGTTATCACATTTAGTTCAGCCTTTTTTTCTCTCTCCAAGTTCATTAAGCCCAATATTGTTTCTCATGCTGACAACATCCCCGATCAACACCAAATCTGATCATTACAATGCAAAGTCAACATTGGATACAGGTTGGTTGCACAACAACTAGCAGTTTAAAGCCAAGAAATAAAGTCCACAATACATATGGATTACAAAACAGGTAGTATCAGCAATGGAAGGTCCTAAAAACTAGTAAGAAATCCATAGCAACGTGACTATGTGATAATGTAAGTATCGCAAAGCTTGTAAACTGACAGATTGAGACGAAATAGAAACATAGATATGTAGACTCTATAACCCAAGAACAACAAGGAAAGCTGTCGATGCGAGCGACACCAAGTAAACCGCTGATGTCGAGAGGGACGCGGACGGGAAGCCTGCGGACGCTCCGGGTATGGGTATGAAATGAAGGGAGTCTTGTTCTTGCTGGGATTCCGATTGCTGCAGAGCGAGGAGTCTTCAGGACATCACGTGATGGGCGTGAAATCAGAGGATAAGCTCACCTTGAACGCTGCGAGTCCGACGACAATCCCCGCGGCGAAAAAGCAAAATGCAATGATGAGCCAGATGACGCCCCAAACTAGACGTGAAAAAAAAATCATTAGGAGCTTCTCAGAATCGTAACACACACGAACGAACCTTGCGAAGGGCAGCAGCCGCAGATGTGAGCAAATGCCGACGCATCGGATGAATTCACCTTGCGAGCGATTGTATCGTCTGGGAGAACAAAACGAGAGGCAGAATTAGCAGTTATTAGAGGATGGATAAAGACAGGCAAAAAAAGAAAAAGACGCACCGATGACGTCCCAGAGGACATACATACAAGACATGACCCCAATGAAAAGTACCTGACGGGAGCTCAGAGATCCACGCACATGGACTTTATTAACTTCGAGCACTTACAAAATATCGCAACGCAACGCCACCCTTAACAAACCAGAACAAGATAATGATGGCGGACATTCCCAGGATCAAGGCCCACGTTCTACACCGAGGAACGCAGTTCAACATCCGTGCGGCCAGATAGCCTAATTATAGGAGACGTACAGCCAATTTCTCCGAGCCCACCATAGTGTGAAAAGAAAGAACGCAGCCAAAACGATACAGGCGACTTTGCTCGCATCAATGTCGAAGCCGCAGGCAATTAGACACGCGCCGATGAACGAGGAGCCAAGGTAGCCCGCGGGAAGCGTTATGATAGGAACTCCTCCTGACATACGCGTCGCACCACCTTCATCAGCTGTTTTCAATGAGACACAATGCAGAAAATAAGACGTTGGTTATGATCTGAGGAGTAAAAACGCGTACGGTCAAGCTCAATGGACTCGATGTGTGCGCAAGTAAGCAGGCCGGCGATTGCATGGCTCATCTAGAGTCATATATATTAGAGATTTTCAGTGATTCATCCTAGGACATACCTCATGAAAGCCAACAGTAAGTAGCCTATGTTGATAATAAGCTTCCTGTTCGAGCGAAAGGATTGAAACACACGCACTTGAACGGGTAGACTGTACAAAACCACCTGGTTAGTTTAAATAACACCTCGATCCTCACTCAAAGACGCACTTATCCAGTTCAAAACTGGCACATGCCTAATTCTTCATTGTCAACGGGCATCAGCATAAAAATCCAAGACTTTCGTACCATAGAATAGCGATGGCAATAACGTAGCATCCTGCGACGATCAGCGTGGTTCGTTGTGTGGCGGACGGCGTCAACTGCGATCTGACATCCCTCGGGAAAATTTGCAAAAAATCGTGAGCATCGTGTTCATTCAAGGCGGGCATTACACAGGTCGTTCAGACAGCGTCAAGAAAGAAAGAGATGGTGGTGGTTGAAGGCCAAGGTCCTAGAGCACTTGTGCCGCAGCACGCGCCGTGTCGAATGTCGCCAAACTTGGAAGGCCGTCTATTCACGGTGCATGGCGGCTGCCCGCAGCGGCGCAGCCATCTCTTCATGATGCATAGCTTTTGAAAACGTTTGGACACTGCTCTCAGCTCATGGTGTATATGCTCATAGTAATTTGTCACGAATTACGCTATAACTCGGCAAATTCCTACCAGGAGTTGAGCTCGAAATTACTTCTCGGTATACTACTGGGGGCAAGGTAGTATGACTACGTCTCATCTAGACCGTGCAGAATTGTTTATTCTCGTTCGACTTGGGCTCTCGACGAGGTAATCATCTGAATCTCGTGCGCAATCCCTCGACAGTTTCTTGCCGCCGCACTACTTTACATAAACCTACTTGAGTCTCAAAGCAAGTTCTTTGTTTCGTTAACTCTTCTTGAGCCTACTCAATCATAGTGATCCTCTCAGCTTACTTGCTTTAACCCAAGCAGAAACAACTATCGGCATGTTCTTCTTTCTCACTGGTATATGCTCAAGGGCGAATCAGTAAAGTACTCAAATCAGCAAAGCCTACAACGCATTACAGCGCTCATGCTGTTCAAATCTCTCATCGGAAGTGCTGTGCATCTGGCCTTTTTGATGCAATCGTGCCTGCTAAATTTACATTATTGTAGACAACTGGGAGTGTTATGCTGCCCCCCCTCCCCTTTTATCCACAGGTAACATATCGAGATCACGCCAATGGGTCAGTCTCCGAGCTCAACCCCGCCTCATGCGGCGCAGAGAAAGAATGCACCTAATGAGCATCCTCTACAGGTGAGCGGTCAACTAAGCTATATTGTCTATGTTACATCCTAAAGTTATGCCAATAATTGTAGAATCAAAATTCTCAAGCTATCCAACAAACTCGGTCCCTTCAAACACGGGTCCCCGAAACACGTTCTGCCCAGATGCGATCACCTCATACACGGTCTCTCCAAACGCGGTCTTCTCGTCGTGGCCGGCGTCTCTACTCATGTTTATTCTGCCACCGCTACTCCACGACCAACCAGGGCTTATTAGAAGTATGTATAGTTTACTTGACGGGTTCTTGGTTATTGACGCAATGATGGGTCCACTTGGTTTTTTTTTGTTAAGCACGCTCGCAGGTCACATCTCTATGCTGTCGAATCTCTGGTGGCCAAAGACGCATAGGGGCCAACACGCGGCTCGACCCCTCGGAGCGATTTTGTGCAGTATGCAATTGTCCGTATACGTGTGGGCTTGAAATGGTGAGTTCCAGTTTCGGCCGACATTGACTACCTAATTTTCAGCTTCAGTATGTCAAATAGCACCTCAGATACGCAGCTTGGCATAAAGCGCCCATTTACAGTCGCAGCAGGCTTACCGGGGAAGGTTTATAAATAGACCGGAGCTATGGTGCGAGCCTGTGAACTGCAGTTCACGCACACGGACAGGAAGCGCAAGGCAAGTATTTAGATATGCTCTTCAACTGAAAGAGCGTCTAATTTGATAGAATTTATACTTATTAGCATGAAGAGGAAGTACATTATCATAACTCCCGCTTCTCTATGTTGAGTGAAGCAACTCGGCACGACGCCAATGTCGACTTGTCAATATTCGAGCGGCCAGGGAATTTGAGCCGCGTCGACATCACTGTCTCCCCGCCTGAAGAAAGCCTTTACTACCGTATCTATCCCATGCGACAGATACTTTGCGACCGCCAATGCTCTGGAACAGGTACGGCTGAACACGTCCATGCTTGTAAAAAACGGTTGATTAAAAGTGAGCGACGATACGACAGCACCAAAACATTGAACGGTGTGGGTTTACCCTGGATCAGCAAGAAGATGAGGGCGAACAACCAAGAGTAGGTCCGAGCCAAACGCTATTGTCTCAGCCTAGCCCTGCACTAGTCCGTGCGGCCTTCCTTCCGCTCTTCTGAAGCACACCCAGACGAGTCCTGAAACCGCAGCTCGCTTAGAAGACGAACTGCTTCTACCATATGAAGTCGTTGGCCCGGTTGTAGGTGATGACCTCAGTACCCTCCACATCTAGCGCCCCCAAAAGAGGCAGGAGCGCACATCCGCTCCCCGCGTTTCCAGTCGCATTCTATGCGCAAGCTGCCTGCGCCGCCTCCACCCAGGAAAGAGCAGAGTCCTGCTCGGCCCTCTTCCGGCACTGCGTCCACGGGAACGCGCTCGGGACAGGCTAAGTCCGCGCGCCTCACAATCGAGTGCACACTCTGCCTGGAACAGGAGGATGATGTGAGCGCATTGTTGTGCGGCCATATTTTCGGGTCTAGGTACGAGTTCTTCATGCTTGACCGTCAGGATGCGAATTAACGGCGGGTGCTGTCTTCAGAGATGTATTATCAGCGCGCTACGCGATCGGTCGATATCCGCTCTGCCGCAAAGCTTCGAGGTTGACAGACTTGCGAAAGATCTTTTTATGAGAAGTAACGAAAGTCTGTTCCTTCCCTTTTCCTTCGCATTGTCTTCGCATATTCCAGATACCCAAATCATTCCATCCATGATCTTTACAAGGAAAGTAAGAATCCACCATCATTATTCGTATTGAAACAATGTCCTAGTTTTTAATGTAGTCTAGGGAATAAACACAAAAGACGTGCGATGGATATACAGATGTAATGCAAGACAACTCTGACATGCACAGTTCGTCGAGCGGCGTAGAAAGTACACGGGGCAGCATAGAACAGACCAAAAAAAGGGAAGGAGAAGAATTGTCCAGCGATCTACATAATGCAGCAAACGTTGCGATCCTTTGGGCACATTTTATCGCATAGATCCCAAAAGCTGGAGGACGCAGCGATCGCGCTCGCTGTTGGGTCATCGGCCAGCCTGATAGGCCCACCGACACGATTGATCTGGATCGTGTGCTCCAGGTCCGGCGCGTCCTCAGACGACGGCACCTCGTACCACCACCGCAAGTACTGGCCTTCGATCGACCACTTGCCAGATGATACTTGCACATCGATGTCAACAAGAGACGACGTGGGCAGAGTCGCCGACGATTGTAACGACGCTGGAGTCTCGGGTGCGTCATCTGTGGGG